AGATAGGCTTAGAGGCAGCGCAGCGAACTAAGGCCTTTAATATACTTACTTTCATTTTGCCATCTAGTGCTGAAGTACCTTTTCATTAGTATGTGTGTAGCGCTGCTACAGGCTATCGGGAGCAAGGAGCTTGGAAACTCGGACAAGAAATTGTCGGTGCGTTTGCGCGATGGTTACACCGATATTCGTTGAATAACGGGTTGATATATTATAGCACTGATTTAACGGATGCGCCACGAATTGTGGTTCCTCACGATGAGGATTTGAAACACCGAATCCTCTACGAGGCCCACGACACCCACTCAGTGGTCTTTTGGTTGCAGATCCATCGCGACTTTACAATCTGTTCGCTGCCATAGTCTCGACGTTCTTGTGTACTTGCCATCATCACAGCGGCTGGTAGCCTGGCACCTGCTTGACAGCTTGAGCCCGACAAAGCAGATATCTCTGTCGATTTTCCTTCGACAGGTTCGCCGTTGAGCATGCTGGGGAGTGCGTTGATGCTGCAGCAGTCCCTCCTTAAAAAGGGTGAAGAAGAAAAATCGGTGACGTTTGGATCCTATTTACAGGCGACTTGAAACCACAGAAAAAGCACAGTCTGCTACCTACGTGTTTGTGTATATGTAAACTGTTTTTGAAGTCCATCATACAATTCATAAGCTATAAACGTAACTTCTATGTTTTCCTCAGGCCAGATATTGTCTTCACTTCTTACCTTCACGCTGTCCTACCAATTGAGAAGTCTGGTCGAAGCTTCATTAATCAAAACATTTTTTGTATCGTCACGTCAGCTACGTGACGCTGCTCACATTTAACCTGCTTCATTACCAGTTAAACAAGGAGTCGACTTGCGCACGAAGAGTGCTCCGAGAAAAGTGATTGCTAGAATAAAAATGAAACTATGTGTGGGTATATGAATGGATTTATCTAAGCCATGGTTCCGCGCAGCACAACCTGTTCAGCACTAGAAGCACGTGCAATGGTCGAGCCCAAACGGTAGACTTTTTCGCCAGTAGCCTCAATATGGCGCGTCACTTCAGCAACGTTTGCTTCCGGCAGCAGCAACACCATACCAATTCCACAATTAAAGGTTCGGGACAGCTCGGTGCTGGAAAGGTTTCCCACCTTCTGCAACCACTTAAAGACGGGAGGTAACGACCAACTAGAGCAGTCAATGTTTACAGCCAAGTCATCGGTTAATACACGCGGAATGTTTTCCAAAAGACCGCCACCAGTGATATGAGCAAGTGCGTTGATTAGTCCCAACTTTATAATGGGCATCAGCTGCTTCACATAGATTTTAGTTGGAGTTAGTAGAGTCTCGCCCAAAGTTTTACCAGACTCAAATGGACACGGATCATTGTACGCAAAGCCTGACACCTCCACAAGTTTGCGGACCAGCGAGAAACCATTTGAATGTACACCCGAAGAAGCCAGACCCAGTACGGCAAACCCGGCTTCAACCTTTAGTGGTAATATGACATTTTTGCGAACGGCTCCCACACAGAAGCCAGCCATATCGTAATCACCGTTATTATACATTGAAGGCATCTCTGCAGTCTCACCACCGATCAAACCACAATTGGATAGACGGCAGCCTTCCGCAATACCTTTTACCACATCTGTAGCTGCGTCCACATCAAGCTTCCCGCAAGCATAGTAGTCAAGGAAGAACAGCGGTTCCGCTCCCTGCACAATGAGATCGTTGACACACATAGCAACGAGATCAATTCCAACCGTGTCATGTTTCTTTGCCAATTGCGCCACACGCAGCTTAGTGCCCACACCATCCGTGCACGCCACAAGTGCCGTGTCTTTGTCATATCCCGCGGCTTCCAAGTCAAAAATTCCACCGAATCCCCCAAGGTCAGCATCACAACCCACACGAATTGTTGACTTACAAAGCGGTTTGATCCTGTTCACCAACTCATTACCAGCATCAATACTTACACCTGCATCTGCGTATGTGATCTCTTTATTATCAGCTTTTTTTTTAAGCAATCGGCCAGTTTGCGCCAGTTTGATCGCGTGGAGAAAAGCAGCACCTTCGAGCGTCTGCACACGCGCTTTAAGGGTTTCTGGCGTATCGATCTTTAGAACAGGACATTTCATTTGTACAGCAATCGGTCCAGCGTCTACTTGCTCCGTTACAAAGTGGACAGTGCAGCCGCTCTCCGTTTTATTGGCGTCAATTACAGCGCGATGCACTGCGAGGTCCATGCCACCAGCAAAGTCTGGGAGAAGCGACGGGTGCACGTTAAGAACCCTGTTCTCCCACTCTTTACAAAAGTCGCTGGACAGAATTCGCATATATCCAATGAGCAATACAAGATCTACATTTTTTTCTTTCAATACCTTTGATACCTGAGCGTCAAATTCAGAACGCGAGATACCCTTCGCTGACATAGCTACAGTCTCGATTCCGTATGTTTTCGCACGCGCAAGAATACCAGCAGCAGCCTTATCACTCACCACGATATCGATGCTGGCATTTATGTCACCTGCTGCAATCGCATCCAGAATGGGTTGCATGCTGCTACCACGAGTTGAGCCTAATACTGCCAGTTTCATCTTCTTGGCACCGTGCAGCAATCCTTTCAAACCAATGTCAGAACGATACTGAGCACCTTCAAAGTGAATCCTTGATACACCTTGATATGCCCGGTCGATGGCGTCTTGAAACGAGGGACCGTCAGCGGTCACTGCGAGCACGCGTCCACCAGAAGTTACAATGCTTCCGTCTACAGCAATTTGCGTACCAGCGTGAAACACGCTAACGCGATTCAGTGCCTGTGCATTCTCCAGACCCGTTATAACTTTTCCTTTAGGATAGCTGTCTGGATAACCTTGAGATGCCATAACAATAGTTGCTACTGCCCCAGTCTTCCATGTCACAAGAGAACGCTCGAGACGATGTTCCACGCAAGCACGCATAATCTCGTACAGATCACTGTGTAGCAAGGGCAAAACCACTTGAGTCTCTGGGTCACCAAATCGACAATTAAACTCGACAATCTTGGGGCCGGTAGAGGTTAGCATAAACCCCGCGTACAACACACCAACATAAGGCATCTCTTCCTTCCTCATTGCAGCAACAACACGCTCGATAATGTCCGTGCACTCGTGCTCGAGCTCGCTTGTGAGACAAGGAGCAGGTCCATAAGCACCCATTCCGCCTGTGTTTGGGCCCTGGTCGCCGTCAAAAATACGCTTATGATCTTGCACACCAGGCATGCACACAACACGCTCACCGTCACAGAATGCCAAAATTGACACTTCCTCGCCCGTCATGAATTCTTCCAATACTACTTCGTCACCAGCCGATCCAAACGCCTTTTCCAGCATGATTTCGCGCAGAGCTTCATGAGTCTCGCTTTTATCATTTGGTATAAGCACACCCTTGCCAGCAGCGATACCTGAAGCCTTCACGACAATTTTGTGATCGATCAAGTCGACATACTTTTTCGCCTTATCATAATCTGTAAAGTTTTGGTATGCGGCGGTTGGGATGTTGTTACGACGCATAAAATCTTTGGAAAAGGCTTTAGATGCCTCCAACTGGGCGGCAAGCTTGCTAGGGCCGAACGTCGGAATACCAATTGCATTCATTTTGTCCGCAAGTCCATAAATGAGTGGAGCCTCAGGTCCCACGACGCAAAAAGAGACGCCTTTGCTCTTGGCAAACGCCATAAGCTCATCGTGGGCATTCACATCAATGTTGACGCTTGAGATGCCGGCAGCTACGTTTTCTGTACCCGCATTACCAGGGGCCACATAAATGTGGCCAGTCGAGGCAGACTGAGCTAATTTCCAGGCAATGGCGTGTTCACGACCACCGTTGCCAACCAACAATATGTCGTGGACCAGCTCAGCGTCATCACTGAGATTAGCGGCAATGGCTGTGTCTAACTCGGCAAATAGAGTAAAAGCCTTTTTGGCCAATGCACGGCGCTCACACAATGAAAAGGCTAGCAAGCCGTCATGAGAAATCTGGCTTTGTAGCTTGGTCAGGTCCATTTCATCCACAATAACGCTAATTTGCTTATAGTTCCACGCGGCAGTGCGTACAAATGAGTAGGCGCCAGAAACCCACTGAGAAATGCGTGCGTTTGCACAAGCACCATCACTCGAAGGATTTGGAGGAAGAGCTAGCACAGCCTCTACTCTGTCAGACAGCATAAGCTGCACGTCAGTTGGCGTGGAAACTACAACATGCGGCACCTTGGCTGCTCCAAGAGCTTCCTCTATAGCTGGTGAGCACAGCGAAGCTATGCGCTGACCAGCTTTTTGCAAATTTGCTGCGGTCTGCACCAATGCATCAGTCGCGCGGTCACCACAAAGAACCACGAGCGGCGTGGATGAATCCATCTTAAGCAATGGGATGACTGGAGGTAAGACCTTGTTGCTTTTTTTCCAATCGCCAGCATATTAACCCTACCGTATTGGGTACGTACTGAACTAATGGGCACTTATACATTTTGGGTCCACTGGGATGAAATACAAATGTGTGTAATTGTGACTGTATTTTGGTATTTATAAGATGATGGGATTCCGAAATGGAGAGGTATGTGATGCACGTGGGCTACGAGCCGCATATCTATTAATAATAGCATCGCAAACATATGCCACTTTTGAAGTCGCACAGCTGAATAAGGACTTGATTTGTCGATGTTACTCTGTGTGGAGCTAACGTTCCGAACCTCTGTGCGTTAGTTAGCACGGACTTTCCAAGTAAAGCAATTCCCTGCGCAATAGTGCCCGATGACTCATGATAACTTATCCTGCATTGTAACGGGGTTACATGAGAGTGACCCGTCACTCTCCCAAGGGAGCTGTGGTGTGG